CACTTCTTGCTCCGTGTCACCGTAACGGCTGGACCTGTCATTGCCAAAAACTAATCAGCACATCTCTCTATCAATATGAATCGATTGCTTTTTGAATTTTTCAAATTGGTTCATACATACGCCGAAAATCGTCGATGAAAAATTGTCTCCACACATACACACACACATGTAAAAATTTTCATTTTCGATTTTCGGCCCAATACTATAACTTACCCTACGGGAAATTAAAAATTGATATTTAGCAACTTCTAAAATTGTTACAATGAAATTAATAATTTTCTTGAAATAAAATGTATGCTTTTTATTAAGAACTAATTAATGCGATTTTCAATAGATACCATGCACTTTGAGTCTTGATAGCCCAAGTAGACATTCAACTTCGGAATAATTCGCATAGAGGTGCTAAAATTGGTATAGGTAGAGTGTCAAACATATGAACTAATCCGACCTCTCCGATTTTTTTAATTGATGTTAAAAGTACAAAATTTTGTTTTGCTCATTTCCCGTAGAAATCATCAGAACTATCAAATATGTTAGTTTTATTTATTTCAAAATTTTTTCATAATGTTTTTGCGTTAAAATCACCGTTTGTGATATTTGAAAAATAGAAAAATTCGTATTTTTTATAATATGCAGCTTTTATACGTCATCGCACGTATAATATAAATGAAAAATAAGAATCCATTGGATTACCTGCTCAAGGAGGACTTTAAACAATCTCTGCCAGCGCTAGTTTCTAGTATCATAATATGATTCACGCCAAAGACTATTAAATCTGTGTAAGACATTTTGTTCCAAAATTTATTTTCATATTACATATTATTTTCAAATTATCTATTTTCAATTGTCGATTTTTTTAAAATTTACTTGCCAGTCAATGATTCTGAAATATTGGTGGTAATAATCCCAAACATTCGATTCAGCAGGGGATAATTATTTATATAAACTTAATTATTTAGTTTACACCTTTTATTAACAATGAAGTATGTGATCCTCCACACTAAGGAAGTGACATAATTGAGAAGTGTTGCTCAAGGAGGAAATTAATTAGGGGCTGACATTATAATTGGATACTTCAAAAGACTCATTGAGATTGTACTATCTAAACTCAAACCAATGGATTATTATTTTTTATTTATATTACATGTTTGATGACGTATAAAGAATGCAGATTATAAAGAATATGCATTTTGCCACGGCAATATTTTAGCAACGGTGATTATAGAGAAATATGATGAATAGAGAATATAATTTTGTAGAGAATTTTATAATAAACAAATCTAACACATTTTTTTGATAGTACCTATAATTTCCGTGGAAAAAGGCTAAAACTAGCATTTTGTACTTTTTGAGATTGATTACAAAATTCATTTGTAATAGCTCATTCAACATCTATACCAATTTAAGCTCTTTGAAAATTATTCCCATGTTACGAATTTTTTGCATTTTTTTCAAAACGCTATGACTGCCGCATTCATTATTTAAAACAATGTTGCATTTTTATAATAAAACCAATTTTCAGAGCCCTTCACTACTTTACGATAGTTTGTTAAAATTACAAACTATATCATCATACAAAAATTTGTCAAAATCGTAACAAAATGTTTTTTTTTAAATTAATTATGATGAAACGGACTCTCAACATTTCCGCGATTTTCAATGTTCAAAATCAGTTTAAAATTTTTTGCATAAACGTAGTAAAATACTTTCGTCGCAAAATATTTTGCACTTTTCTGCTATTCTAAAGAAACGTTTTGGCCGATCATCAACGCAAGTCCTTAAAGACTTTATCGAAAGCTTTCAAATTTTTGAAATCAGTGCAACCCTGTTTGAGAAAACTTCGACGAAAAATCAAACGCACATACCTATTTATATATAAAAAGTTTACTTTTTTAACTTCCCGAAGGAGAAGTTTATGTTTTCATCAAAAAATCCGAATCGCTAATTTTATGTTTTCTCGACGTTTCGAGCCATTCTGAATCGAATGAGACCAAATTTGGAAAAAGTATGTTGTGTGTGTGTGTGTGTGGTGTGTGTGTGTGTGTGTATTGTGTGTGTGTGTGTGTGTGTGAACAGATTTTTTGCCGTAAATCGACGTTTTCTCCAAAACGGTTGGACGATTTCAAAATTTAAAAGCCATTTGATGTATCTCGATGAGGACATAGTCTCTGAGTTTTGTGCGGCGATCGTCCGGCCCGTTTCTTTGTAAATTGCAGAAAAGTGAAAAATTTTTCGTCCACGTTTTAGCCCGCAATTCTGAATCGATTCTGAAAATTCAAAAACCGTTCGATAGATATTGGTTGGGAATCGTGCTGATTAGTTTTTGGTAAAGATCGGCCGGGCCGTTTTCTTGTAATAAAGTTTTTAAAAAAAAAATTTCGACGATTTTTATGATTATTTTTTTGACGATAGATACCATAGTCTTCTAGATCATACTAAAATATTACGGCCCTACGACAACTGGTTCAGCTTTAAAAATTCGTCAAAGTTTGCAAAATCAGTATGGTCTTTTTGGCATTTGTCAAAATTAGACTTTTGATCGACGTTTTCTCAAAAACGCCTGAACCGATTTTAGAAATTTAAAAGCCATTTGATGTATTTCGGTGAGGACTATCGTTTGTCAGTTTTGTGCAACGATCTGCCAAGCCGTTTCTTCGTAATTTGAAAAAAAGTGTTGAACTTTTCGTCCACATTTAAGCTCATCCTACCGAACCGATTTTGAAAAATCAAAAACTGTTCGAAAGATATCATTTGGGAATGATGCTGATTAATTTTAGGTGAAAATCTACCGAGCCGTTTTCTTGTAATTAACCGTTGAAAAAAAGTGTTGAACTTTTCGTCCACATTTAAGCTCATCCTACCGAACCGATTTTAAAAAATCAAAAACTGTTCGAAAGATATTAGTTGAGAATGGTACTGATTAATTTTAGGTGAAAATCTACCGAGCCGTTTTCTTGTAATTAACTGTTAAAAAAAATTTAAGCCGTTTTTCATGAAACTTTTTTTGGCGATATACATCATGGTCTTATAGAATTTACTGAAATATTACGGCCTAACAACAAGTAGTTTAATTTTAAAAATTCGTCAAACTTTGCTAAAATTATTATCGTTTTTTTTTAAAGTAGGATTGATGAAGTATATTATTTACACATTTTTTTGATCAAGTCGATTATTTACACATATCGGGAAGTTCATGTAATTTGCCTCAAGGCTAAATACCAAACCAACTAGTTCAATTTAAGTGTCAAACACTTCAGTGATGTTTTAATACGCGTCATGAAATTAGGTAATCGGATTTTCTGGCGAAAACAAACTTCTTTCATAAATCCTAGGAATGTTAAAAATATGTACTGTATTAGCACTACCGTTTACCGTTAATGTTTGTAATTAATTTCTAATACGTAAATGACATTATACATACAAAACAGGAGAATTGCAACAAACGTACATTTAAGAAAAGTAACCGACGAGATGTTTTCGAAAGCACAATGCAATTCATCATAACCTTTAACTCTGCGCTATGTTAGTGATACACTGAAGTTTTTTTTTGTTTGTTTTTTTTTTTACAGTATTTTTAGCCACCTACATTATTAATATTATTTTCAGCATATTCTATACAATTCTTACATATATAATTCTTATACATATATCATATATAGTATTATATATACTATCTAATACTTCTTATATCCTAATCTTCCATTCAATTATTCTTTCAACTGATTTTCATTCTTCTTCTTGTTTCTCAATATGTTCTTCTCATCTTCTAAACGAAACTTCATTTTTTCCTTCTTACTTCTAATACAATTTTTTCTTGTATTCTACAAATTAACAATTCTTAATCTAATTTAATATTTTATATTTTGATTCTGGTATTGCTGAAGATTCGAACTGAATTCCTCCAGCATGTGGGTCGAGAACACTACTGAGTGAGCTATTCCCGCCACTACACTGAAGTTAGTTTGCATAAAAAATGCAAAATACCAACAGCTATAAGGGCACATTGATAGGAACACTATTACCCGTATACGTATAGCGCGCGGTCTATTTTTTGAAACTTTAATTATTTTTGGTTTGCCTAAAGATCTTTTCACCATGCAAAGTTCATAAAAATCACAGGAGAGATTCTTTCTGCTTGAATTGTATTTTCTAACACACACATATATATACATATATATATATATATATATAAATATAAATATATATATATATATATATATATATATATGCATTAAGGGGCACAACTAGTGTAACCGCCTAAAAAAAGGTGATTTTTGGGAATTTATATTAAAAAAACTACTATATCAATCATTTCAAAATTTTAGAAGTATATTTATACATGTTTTAAGAATACATAGTAAAATTTTTGAAGGTAAAATTAAATATTTTTTAAGTTATCTTCAATCTCCAACGGCGCGACAAAAAAAAGGCCCTTAACTGCTGCCGTGATTCCGGCCTTCTACGTGGATGAAATAAAAAAAAAAATTCTCGTTACACTAGATAATATTGTCTGTAAAATAAACTACGATAAAAAAAATAAATCCAAAATTGACAAAATGGCGGCGTTTTAAAAAAAGGCGAATTTTATTCAAATTTTGGTCGTTTTTTGACTGCCAAAATTTGATTTTTGATCCGATCAAAAAATCGATAGTTTATTTTACGGAGATTTTTTTTTTCTATATAAAGAACATGTAAAAAAAATTTGATAATGATCAGAACATTCGTTTTTGAGTAATCACTGCAGCAAATTCGGAAAATGCTGTTTCGAGAAAAACGCGTTTAAAGATAAAATGATCGTTGTACTATATACTATATATATATATACTTTTTAAATGGCTGTAACTCAAAAACTGTTTGAGATATCGTATTGAAATTTTAATATGTTATTTTTAAAGATGTAATCTACTGAAATATGAAAAAAAACAAAAATCGATTTTCTCGAAATTTCACACTAGTTGCGCCCTTTAAATACATGAAAAAAACTATAAGGTTGCACTTACTAGTGCCTGTAACATGGGCTGCGGCTCTGGTGACCGCTCCCTGCTTCTCGATTGCTGGGTCGTGGCTTCAGCAGAGCCCGCGCTCGCCGCGGTCTGTGCGGCGTTGTTGCTGCTGCGGGTCGGGCAATGGTGTGAAGAATGTCTCCTCGTGACTCCGAGGGATCCGAGGTCGACAGGACTGAGAAGCGATTGCTCGGCGTCGAGCAGGTCGAGTAAAGCGCGCTCCTGGTCGCCGGCTCCAGCCGGCGCGCGAGGCTGCCTGTTCGCCCGGGCCTAGGGAGACGTAAATCTTTATCAAACTTTCACAAAGTTACTTCTTGTGTTTGCGAATTGGTTTGTTCTACAGCGAGCTTAAGAAGTATTAAATTGATAAAGTCGACAATTTTAGGATATACTTTTATTTTTATACTGTCTTTATTTTATATTACGTTAAAATACCATTATCTCAGTATATGACATTTCTTAGAATGTACTAATGATATTCTCTTCAGTTATTTTTTCGATTATTCCAAAGAAAAAAATGTTATGTGGTCTAACTACCGCGGTCGGCAAATGTTATATTGGTTGTTGTCTCCGTCGAAATGTATATGCAATTTATACAAAAAATTGTATCCAAACATACATACATACACACACACATACATACATCCATTTTTTCTAAGGTATGGCAAAATGTTCAGAATCCTTCAAAACATGAAGATACGCAACCATTTTTATTTTCGATTTTTTTGCGATTACTATAACTTACCCTACGAGAAGTTAATATGCCAAATAAACCAAACAAAAAAATACAGTTTTGGATGGTGCCTGAAATCAATAGTAAAATATATAGTATAATAAATGAGTTCCGCTAATTGAGAAATGACTCCAATTGAGTAGTTCGTTGTTCTAAAACTGATACAATCATTCACAGCGTTTAAGCAATTAGTATAAATCAAATTTCATTACTCTACGGTTTATAAAAGCAAACCGAAAAATTGCTTGTCCTAACTTTCAAACTTTAACCAATAGAAATATGTGTGCGAATACAAATTTTGTCAACGATTTCAGAAACACGGATCAACGGATTTGAATAATTCAAAAACATTCGATTCGCATTGATGAGAAGACGTGCTGATTAGTTCTTGGAAAAGGAAAGTCCAGGCCGTTTCAAAGATACGGAGCCAAAAGTGCCAAAAATGGCAATTCAGTTTTTGAAAGAAAGAAGCGTCCGATTTGAATGATTCAAAAATCGTTTTATTTGTATTGACGAAATGAAGAACTGATTAAATTTGGAAGGCCAGGTACAGCGGTTTCGGAGGTTCAATAAAAAATTAAAAAAAAATCATTTGACGGTCAAAAAAGATCATTAGACATATGGACATCAAATTATCAGGTATTTTGTAGAGATTTAAAAATACGGCTACGGAGCGTGATTTGAAAAAAAGGTCAAGTTTTCAAAAAACCTTAATTTGCGGTACGGGAGGTTCCAGTTTCAGTCAATCTGCTTTAAGCCATAATGCATTGCCTTAACAGCATATATTAATATATTAAACTTTCATAGGCTCTATTTTTTATACATTTATATAAATATAAATATAACTATTATATAACTATAATATGTATATATATATATATATATATATATATACCAAAGCAGTTACGTGCATTATGCATTATCATATATTAGTACAAGCTATTCTCTCCCGACGCAAATCCATTATAAAATCATCAAACAGATTTAAATCCACGATGCATAAATCGAGAGAGTTCTGCGTCTAGTTAATCTGTATGGACGCACGTGGTCGGAATACGATCTTTTCACTTTAAAAGTGCGTCCATACTAATCGAAAAAGCCAACACGGCGAACGCTATATAGGTACGACGTGCTCGCTGAGGCATTACTAGCACCTTTTTCGGGATAAAATCACTTAGAAAAGCCGATACATTAAACTGGATGGACAAGTGAAAACTCGGATTCGGTTTTTATAATAAACAAATGATATTGTTAGACCGTATATTTAATGACATAGCAAAGAAATTTATTATATGTACACGCCTTTTGTGATTTATCACATTTTATAAACAATGTCATTGATTGCAAATAGGGTTAATATAAAAATACGCTATCTTGAATTATTATACTCCCGAAGGAAAAGTTTGTTTTCGCCAAAAAATTTGATTTGCTAATATCATGTTTTCTCGACGCTTCTGAATCGAATGAGACCAAATTTTGAAAAATTACGTGTGCGTGTGAGAGCCGATTTTACACCTTCGTCGGCGTTGTCTCAAAAACGGTTAGACCAATTTCAAATATCTGAAAGCCATTCGATGTATATCGAAAACGCCTAGCGTTTGTCTGTTTTGCGCGACGATCAGCCAAGCCGTTCTTCGTTAATAGCAAAAAGTAAAATTTTACGTTTTAGCCCGTAATCTTGAATCGATTTTAAAAATTCAGCAACTGTTTGAAAGATTGTGGTTGGGAAAGATACTGATTAGTTTTTGGTAAAAATCGGCCGGGCCATTTTCTTGTAATTAGCTATTGATAAAACATTTTTCGAATATTTTTAGCGATAGATATTATGGTCTTCAAGAACACACCAAAATATTATAGTTCTATGGCAAGTCGTTTAATTTTAAAAACATATCAACGCTTTAGAAAATGACCAGACGTTATTGACGTTCATTAAAAATATTCCATTCATAATTATTTTTTTTTCAAGATCTGCTGAATCGATTTGCAAACTGGCCGAGCCGTTTCTTTGTAATTTGCAGAAATGTGAATATATTTTGTCCACATTTTAGCCAAAAATTCTGAATCGATTTTAAAAGTTCAAAAACTGTTCGAAAGATGATATTTGGGAATCGTGCTGATTAGTTTTGGACAAAGATCGGTCAAGCCGTTTCTTAGTAATTAACTGTTAAACAATTTTTTTACGATGAAACATTTTATGTTGATAGATATCACGGTCCTAAAGAACATACTAAAATATTACGGCCCTACAAGTCGTTTATTTTTAAACGTTTGAAAAATATTATAGTCAAAATTTGCTTTCGTGGTGTAATAAATCAAAATTTGAATTTTACCAATTTAATGCCATTATAATAAATTCCAGCCATTAGCCATTAGAATTAGAAATTATTATAGTTTTGGAATTGGCAAACAAGTAACTGAGCAGTCTACAAAACTTCTCTGGTTGTGTAAAAAATGTTACCAATAATTTAAATCATTAAATAATATTAATTTTTACGTACATGGTATATGTAATCGAGCTGTTGAAAATTTTATGCGAATATCAATTTCGGTTGATTAAGTTCATCCTACTTGCCCTAAGGCAAAATGCCACATTCAACTAGTTAAGATAAGTTCATATAACATACTTAATTGCAAAATCTACAAACCGCACAACATTATATGTAGGGGAGAATGGGTGGTACGGTTGTGCCAGGGTACGTTCGTTCAAATAAGTTTTCATTATTGCAATGAATCAGCTTTTAAAGACTAAAAATTAAGTCTTTATGTTTTATTTCTTTTAATAATAACTGTTTCATGTTCAATAAAATTTTGCATTTAGCGGTCAAAAATGATCTTTAGACATATGCATATCATATCAGATATTTTAGAGATTTTAATAATAAGTATGAATTTTGTTTACATTTCTATGGGTTCAGTACCAATTTTCATAAACTAGTTTGCGATGCGACGCTTACGCGCTTCGATTTAAGAAAAGAAAAGTTCAAAATTTTCAGAAAAATGTAATGCGTAAAAAATGTCTAAATTTAAAAATAATTAAATTTTTTTAAAAAAGTCAGATCTCATTTTTTTCAGTTTTCAAAAATTTTAATTTTCGGTACTAGAAGTACCACCGATATACCGGCACGATGTCATGCACTACTGGTTATATTATTCATTATATCATATTTATCGTTGCATATTTTATTCCAGAAAGCGCTGGAATAAAATCAAGTAGATCTATCAACTTCATATTAAATGACAATGTAACCAAATCTAGTTCTCCAATTCGCAATATTCGTTCATTGTTTTCAAATTGTCAAACTCACCAACATTTTTAGGCTTAATACATATATGGTATCTTAAACTTCACAAACAGTTATAAAATTTCCGAGTGCATTCGACAAATCACAGTTCAAAGTTTATCATGCATTTTTTTACAAATTTATGAGCAAATTTCTAGAAAATAATTACATCTGTCACAATTAAAATTCATGGCAGGACATGAGCCGACTCCAGTCCAAAATGGATTCGAGGTACAAAAGCATAAATAACATACTCATCAGAATGGCAAAAGAAATTAACAATACAGAACCGCAATGCGTCTGCGATGCAAATTCAGATACTTGCAATTGTGAATGTAATAATAAAAACTACAGGATGAAAAGAATACTCAAAATAAGAAAACTAGCAGAAGGCATCAGAAATATAGTCAATGATCGTAAAATGATTTTAATAAACATCGATAAAGCATCAAAAGAATGCATTCATAAGATTTCGACGTTGCAGGATATTTTCGATGCTCTCAGTAAATCAAATGCATTGCAAATGCGGAAATGCAGCTACTGCAAGTCCTGCGAAGGTTGCAAAGTGTTTACTGAAATCGAAAAGCATTTATATGCAATGATTGGTGATTGGAAAGGTCGATTGCAAGAAATGCAACTCAGAATTCTAGAAGAACAAGATAAAGTTACATATCTTTTAAATGAATTGGCTTCTGTAGAGAAAGAGGAGAAACGGTTAACTAGGAAACTGAATTCACGAAACATTTGATTCATATTGTAGTTTTATTAAGAGTAAAAGCTTGAAATGTCGACAACTCCTGTTCATCTTTTTGCTTTTGTTAAATTCTATGTAATACTATCTAACGAGAAGATCAAAACGTCAAGTAACACGCTACATTAATTTGATTTTGACGAATTATAAGATCCTGGAAAGCAGATATTATTGCAATTAAACATTCATAGAATTGTATGATTTATGATTTAATATGATGATGTAATTTTTTTTTAATTTTGAAACGGGTGTTTTTTAAATAAATGGATGAATTTCAATATTTGTATTTTTGAATAAAAATATTTAATAAATTATATTATAGAATCAATATTTTGCGCAACTCAGATTGTAACTTCAAGAATTATATATCAAGATTAAAATAAAATTCTGCAAATAATTTTTTTATTTTTGTGGTCTTCTCAAACGAGATACTTCAGTTGCAAAAAATATAGAACAGAATTTGCATGTAATCATAAAAAAGCATTTAGAGATTACTGGTACAAATGTTTTTTTATATTCTAAATTTGTAACCTACCTCTAGCCGAAATGAAGGCAAGAAAAGCATTTCAATCATAAATAACTGTGATAAATGTTTTTATTTTGTACCCTATTACAAAATTGATATATCTGGTCGGAGTATAAAATATGAATAAGAAATTACAACCATATTTTATAGGAAGATGACTTTATT